GTGATGTCACTAACTTTATATTTTGTGGGAAACCACCATCTATTCCCTATAAAGTAAGCTGGACCAAACTTAGTCATTACTGTTGGGGGAATCTTTCTTTTTCTTTTATTATTAGGAGTCCCTTTTTCTAGAACTCTCTGTGCTTTTGGGATAACTCCTTCTGGTTTAGTTTAATTCATTAATTCTGCCTGTTATAACATATCTGGAAATTTTAAATTTCTATATTTACTATGAGTGAGCTGCAAAACTGCTTGTGAAGTTGCAGGAGTTTCTGGAGACAGCGTCACATCAGATGATATATTGATTGGGGCATTGTCCACATCTAATCTTTGGTCCTAGTCTTTATTATTCAGAGAAGTCGTCTCTATTGGACTGGAAAGAAACAACATGCCCTGTTCGCAGATCAATAGAAAAATAGCCAAAACGATAATAAAGGCAATGAATGGACAGCCAAGAAGAATATAATAAGGATAAAGGTAAAGGCAATAAAGGTACAGCCAAGTGTATGGGAAGCCTTGAACCAACACCCCCTTCCTGCAGGCACGCTTCCTTGAAGCTTGCTTTGCCTGGCGCGATCTCTCACACAGACTCCACAGGAGGTGGCGTGGCAGTGCCTCAACCATTTCTATCACATATGATGTATGTATGTATGTATGTATGTATGTATGTATGTATGTATCCTATCTATCAATCTGTCCAGCTATTGGTAACACAACTTGTTACCTCTTAGTTTTATGTCATTGATAAAATGTTGAATAGGATGAGAACAAGATGGATACTTGTAGTCCTCCATTAGAATTTCAGGTTTCCATTTTGCAGAATTCCTACTTTCCAGGTTGAGGTACCTCATTAAAAGATTAATAAATGTATTTGGGGGCACTGTTCAAACAATTTTAAGTCACCTAACTCTGCTTGTGTATATATATACAGAAATAGGTATGTGCATACATAAACATATGTAGAAATTAATGAATATGTTGGCTAAAACCCACTTGGAAACATTGGATACAGGGTGTTATTCAATGCCAAATTCCATTTTTATGTTATTCTGTGGCTAAACTCCCAACAATTACAAAAGAGAAACAGGGCCAAAGTTTTCTATTGAAAGAAGAGGGCCAAAGTAATGAATGGAAACTTGGAAATATTTTAATGCCAGTATTAGAAGCTAGAAATTAGCTTAAATATAAACTTATGAATTTGGGGCATGTACTGAATCTCACATAGAACACTGATCCTAATTTTATTTTTTTTGGCGGGGGGGTCCGCTCATGGGGCCTGAACTCTGGGCCTGGGCACTGTCCCTCAGCTCTTCAGCTCAAGACTAGCACTTTATCATTTGAGCCATGGCGCCACTTCTGGCTTTTTTCTTTTTGCTTATGTGGTGCTGAGGAATTGAACCCAGGGCCTCAGGCATGCAAGGCAAGTGCTCTACCACTGAGCCA